CTCTTCTTGCTTTGATTGTCTCTGCTGAGAAATCTGAGGTGATTCTAATTGGTTTCCCTTTATAGGAGATTGATCTTTTCTCCTTGACAGCTTTAAGGATCTTTTCCTTGGTCTGAATTGCTCCTGTGTGGATTATAATGTGACAGTAGGATGTCCTGTTATGGTATGGTCTATTTGGAGTTCTAAAAGCTTCTTGTATCTGAATAGGCCTATCTTTTTGCATGTTTGGGAAGTTCTCTGCTAGGATTCTGTTAAATAAATTTCCTAGACCATTAATTTCTGTCTCTAGGTGCTCTCCTACACCCATTATCCTCAGATTAGGCCTTCTGATGGTGTCTTCCAAGTGTCGAATAGATCTATCATATTTGTTGGATTTGTCTTGGATGGTTGCATATTCTTTCTCTATAATATCTAGGCTGTCTTCAATACCCGAAATTCGATCTTCTGCATGGCCTAACCTACTATCAAGACTGTCTACTTTGTTTTTTATTTCTTTTCCTTCTAGTTGGTAGGCTTTGATGGCTTCAAATTCTTTGTTGGAGCTTTGTTTTAGATCTTGTATGAACTTCTTTACTTCCTTAATTTGGTGTTCAGTGTTTATTCTCAAATCACTTAGTTGATTGGTTATGGTTTCCTTGGACTCCCATTCCTTCTGTTGGGCTCCATTCAGCATTCCCTTTGTGGTCTCCCTGACTTCTTTCAGTTCTCTGTTTATGGATTCCATGAATTCCTTTAGTGATCTTTGTGTATTCTCATCCTGCTCTCTCAATTCCTGTATTACTCTTTGATTAGCTTCCTCACGATCATGCATTTTCTGTAGTTCTCTTTGAGTGTTCTCAGCCTGCTCATGCCATTTCTGACTTTCTCTGTCTGTTCTCTGCCAGCTCCCGCAATTCCTGTCTATCTCTTTGACTGATCTCAGCCTGCTCATGCCATTCCTTTATTTCTCTTTGAGTGTTCTCAAGCTGTTCATGCAATTCCTGTATCAATCTTTGAGTAGCTCATGCTCATGATATTCCTATATTGACCTTTGGTTTGCCTCTTCTCTCTCCCTATCAGGCTCATACAGAGTCCTTTGCAGGTTTTCAATCTTTTCATTTGCCATGTTTACCAGTAGTGTTTGTAGAGCTTTCTGGGAACTCTCCTCTAGATTATTCATTATCTGTTCTGTCCCCTGATTATCATGAGTGGGATTTGAGATACGTGGACTTGCCATTTTTCTTGTGTTTTTTCGGCTTGCGCTGTCCATTTGGGAAGAAAGTAATACTAGTTTTGTGCTAGAACACTATCTTAAGGCAAGCATCAACCAAAGTCTGTAGTTGCACAGTCAAAAGTCTGCAGATACAAGCAAAAACATTTGTGTTGTTGTTGCTGGTGGTGGTGGTGGTGGTTGTGGGGCTTGACCTCTGGGCGTAGGTGTTTCCCTGAGTTCTTCTGCTCCATTCTAGTGCTCAGTCACTTTGAGCCACAATGCCACTTCTTCATTTGTTTTTCAATAAACTCATTACATCCTGTTAGTGAACGTGAGGCTATGAGGTTGGGAGATTTAGTAAGGAAATTGGCTCAGTAAGGGATTTGGGCAGAAGGGACTGCAAAGCAGAAGAAGAAATGGTGTTATCCTCTTGTTCTCAGTTCAGAGCTCTGTAGTGTTGACTAGGACAGCACTCAAGCCCTTCCTTGGCCTAGTTAACATGTTTTCTATTCTGAGTTCTAAGCCCAATGTGCATTAGAATGAACACATTTGATTTGAGAGGGGAGTAAGAGAAGTCCCATCATACATGCTCTAAATATTACCATGATATTATGTAAATAGTGATGTTAGAACCAAGTTATAAAACTCAAATTCAGCAGCCTGAAGCCATTCAGTGGCAGGCATAGTCTTACATATCACAAGAGGCTCAGAAGATATCATTGCTTAATAGAGCAGCAAAATGCTATATTAATGGGGGGAAACAACCAAGAAATGGAAATTATGTTCACTATAGAGGATGAAAAGCAGAGAAAATGAGTAAAACTGAGTTAAACAATTGTCTACACCTATACAAGTGTTGATAAGTTTGTTATTTATTTTCATATCAATGGATATTGATCAGGGCAAGATATCATGGTGATTTCATTGTATTTGTTGTTTGACTTAATTTTTTTCAATGATTTCTCATTTTAATTTAATTAGTTAATCTAATTTGGTGCTAGTCCTTAGGCTTGAACTCAGGACCAGGCTCTGTCCTTGAGCTTCTTTTGCTCAAGGCTAAAGCTCACCACTTCAGCACAGCACCATTTCTGGCTTTTTCTGAGCATTTTAATGGAGATAAAAGTCTCATGGACTTTTTGGCCTGGCCGCCTTAGAACCTCGATCCTCAGATGTCAGCCTCCTGAGTACCTAAGATGACAGTGTGAGCCACTGCATGATTACCAGGGTGAGCCACCAGTGCCTGGCTGTAATTTTATATTTAATTGACAAATGTATACACATATTTATGGATTACAATGTAATATGAGACACATAAACATTGTGCATTTGTTTCTCATGTGAAATGCTTTAAAGAATAGATATAATGTATTGGCTGTTTTTGTTAAAGTGTTTTTAAAGAACTTTGAATAAGCCCTGCTAAGTAATTAGATACAACACTTTCTTTTTGTTACTGCAAAAATTAATTTATAGAAAAGTCTGTAATTTGTGGGGGAAATTTCATATATGCTAAGAACAGATGTTTTAACTAATTTTAAATATAAGAAGGTCATAATTATTGGACTAATCATACCATGTTCAAAATTTCAACCTCAGGTCATTTAAACTGAAAATAAATGGCTAAGTTATGATCAGATTAACACATTTTATCAGTTAAAATAATTTTTTTGTGCTGGTCCTGGCTTTGAACACAGGGACTAGGTACTATCCCTGAGCTATTTTGCTCATGGTTAGCACCCTCCCAATTTGTGTCGCAGCTCCACTTCTGGCTTTTTGGTGGTTAATTGGAGATAAAAAGTGTACAGGACTTTCTTGCTGGGTCTGGCTTTGAACTGTGATCCCCAAGTGTTAGCCTCCTGAATAGCTAGGATTGCAAGTGAGAGCTACGAGTGTCCTGTCTAGAAAAAATCTTTTTATAAAAAGGCATAGTACTTTGACATGAAAAACCAATCTTTTATTATTATTATTATTGTTGTTGGTGGTGGTGGTGGTGTTGGTCGTGGGGCCTGAACTCTGAGCTTGGGTACTGTCCCTCAGCTCTTCAGCTCAAGTCTAGCACTCTGCCACTTGAGCCACAACGCCACTTCCAGCTTTTTCTGCTTATGTTGTACAAAGGGGTTTCAAGTCCACAGTCAGATTATGGGTACAATTCATCTTTTAAAAAGTTATATTTTTATTGCCCGGCACCGGTGGCTCATGCCTATAATACTAGCTACTCAGGAAGCTAAGATCTGAGGATCATGGTTCGAGGTCAGCCTGGGCAGAAAAGTCTCTGTGAAACTCTTATCTCCAATTAACCACTTACAAACCAGAAGTGGAGCTGTGGCTCCAAGTGGTAGAGTACTAGCCTTGTGCAAAAGAGCTCAGGGACAGTGCCCAGACCCTGAGTTCAAGCCCCATGCTGACAAAATAATAATAATAATAGATTTATTATTATTATCTTTAAGTACTTGTATAAAGGAATCACCATTCAACTAACAGTTTTTTATTACAATGCATCTTTATCAATGTCACCATTTCCATAATTATTAATAATTCCCATCTTTTCCCATTTCATCCATATTCTCAAGTTAAGTAGTTCATTATCCCATAATGAACTGCATTTGTTCACACTTCCCTCACCATTTGTATGTTCACCTCTTTGGTCCCCACAAGACATGGTTACATCCTTGTATTCATTTTGTTAAATGGTTCATTAGTTGTTTAGAACCACTAGACGGCTCCTCTGTGTATATCATCCATTAGTTAATTTGTTTGCATATATGTGCATATAACCCTCTATATGCTTTCATGCATGTTTTAGATCTAACGTCCCATATGGGAGAAAACACGCACCCTTTGTATCTCTGGGCCTGACTCACCTTATTTGACATAAGATTTTCCTACATCTATCCATTTACTTGCAAATAACATAACATTCATCTTTCTGATAGATGAGTAAAATGCTACATTTTCTTTATTCACTCATCAGTTGTAGAACATCTGGGCAAGTTCCTTACTTGGGTATTGTGAATAATGCAGCAATGAACTTGGTTGTGCAACTGTCTTTACTGTATCCTAACTTGTAATGTTCTGAGTGAATGCCCCATAGTGCTATAGTTAGTTGAGTCATAGGATAGTAGTTCTATGTTTAGTTTTTTGAGCAATCTCCAAAGTGCCTTCCAGAGTAATTGCACTGCTTTATATTCTTACAAACAGCACAATAGGGTTCCTTTTTCTCCACACCATCACTATAATTTGTTGATGTTCTTATTCTTGATGGTAGCTAATCTTACTGGAGTGAGATGGTAAGTAATCAGTCTTGATAAATAGTTAGTTACTAATTTTCCACAAAGATGTTTAAATCATACTGGACTATGTTTTTATAAATTATTGTCAAGTTGATATACAAGAGGGGTTACAGTTACCATAAGTAAAGTAATAAGTACATTTCTTGTTACCCCTTCCCTCATTTTTCTCCTACTTCCCTCCCCCCAAGTTGTACACATCATTTCTAACACATTGTCTTGTGAATATCGCTGTTGCATTGGTTCCCCCATTGGCCTTTTTCTCACCATTCTGTTGTTTCCCTTCCCTTCCCTAATTCCCTAAGTCCACTCCCAGGTGGACTATGTTTTAAAGCCTAGATTTTTTTTTTCGGTTGTGGGGCCTGGGTGCTGTAAAGCCTAGATTTTCCTTGTTATTACCTCCTGACTGCAGATATTCATGAAAGTAAAAATAAGGTATTAAAATCTCAAAAAGTTTTTTTTGCCTTGTATTTCCTTGTAAAATTCTTTGGTTAATGCTCTTAATTTCATTTGCTTATATGCAGACACCTGGGCAACCTTGTCACTGTATTCTCCAGGCAACACATGCAGTGGTTGTGGCACATCAGTGGAAAAAAACCCTTTTGGATAGGCAAGTATCTGTACTACCCTGAGCAGAGTGCAAGACTATGGCTTCTGACACCTGCTACTCCCTTCCAGAGGGCAAATAATTGTAGTTTGTAGTAATTGTCAATGCTTAGATGGATACCCTAAAAACCTGAATTTTAAATTTCATGTTAAGGGCTTGGGATATAACCTAGTGGTAATATATGGTTGGCATACAACAGGACCTAGGTTTAATCCCGAGCACTACAAAAGGAAAATTCATCTTAAAACTTTTGATACAATATTTTTATTTTTAGACATCTATTCTAAAAGAATACTTAGGGATGTGGTCAGGCTGATTGCTAAGAGAATCCAGTGCAATCATAAGTCCAACATCTAAAAATTAAAAATTTCTGTAATTTGAATTATGTGCTATATAATGTTTTATAGTGTTATATAATGAATTAAATTATAATGTGTTTCAGATAAAGGTACAGTTTTTTTATTACTTAATGCTTATATGATTCTATTAAAGGCATAACAATTGCTTGATGCTTTTTAATTGATTCAATAAATACATGTAGATACAAATTATAAATTATATAATGCACTGCAAAAGTCACATGAAGCATGAAATAATTGAGAATAAAAATTAATATAAATGTGGTAATGTATAAATATAAACATAAAGAGATATATACTAAAGAGTTAGAAATGGTTTACCTCTAGTCAAGAATTATAGGTGTTTGAATTTTACACCTTGTTTTCTGAAATTTTTAATATTTTCTATAATGTTGAGCACTAGAACAAATCTTTTCTTTTTGTCTTTTTTCTGTTGTGTCAGTGTGGGGCTTGAACTCTGGGCCTGGGCAGTGTCCCTCAGGTCTTCAGCTCAAGGCTAGTGCTCTACCACTTAAGCCATAGCACCACTTCTGGTCTTCTGGTGGTTTATTGGAGATAAGAGTCTCATGGACTTTGCTGCCTGGTATGGGTTTGAACCACAGTTCTCACATCTTAGCCTCCTGAGTAGCTAGGATTATAGGCATGAGCCACCGGTGCCCAGCAGAACAAATCTTTTTAAGCCACATTTGAAATAGAAGTCTCAGGGTGACCCAAAGAAATTCTAATAAAGCCAGTGTTAGATTTTCATATTTTCTGTAAACCTCAATAGGTCTTCATATTTTAAAAATAAATTGAAGGGGCTGGGAAGGTGGCTCAGTGGTAGAGCGCTTGCCTTGCATGCTTGAGGCCCTGGGTTCGATTCCTCAGCACCACATAAGCAAACAGAAAAAAGCCGGAAGTGGCGCTGTGGCTCAAGTGGTAGAGCGCTAGCCTTGAGCTGAAGAGCTGAGGGACAGCGCCCAGGCCCAGAGTTCAGGCCCCACGACCGGACCAAAAAAACAAAAACAAAAAAAAATAAATTGAAATATATCACATTAGTCTGGAATATGTTTTCTCTTAGTCCATAAAGGTGGATTTTAAATCTGTATCTTCACATTTTTAGACATAGTGTATTCTAATCAATAATTCAAAGAACCAATCTAGGTGAAGTTAGATAGAATATGCCTAGCTAAAAATAATTCTGTTAAGTCCACCCAAAAATATTGACTGAGATTGGCTAGGCAAAGTTAATTTACTGTGTAATATAGGACTATTCTCATGGTCAGCTTCAAGTTGGAGGATGTCAGAATGTTGTTATTGCAAGAGATTCTTTTATCAATGTTTTCTTTTTAATTTCTATTGTGAATGAGAAGGAGGGGGAAGACTGCTTCATCAAGAACAACAAAGAACATATTGCAGAAGCTTTACACCATTAAAGAGTAATTTGTAGAAGTTGATAGTGGGAATAGAGAGGCAAAAGGAGAAAAACTTGTTTTTATTGGAATTGTAGCAGATTGAAACATCTTAAATTCCTGACTAAAAGTAATATATCAGAAGCTACTTCCAAATATAAAAACCAATGGACCAAAAATACCTTTTCCCAAGATAGTAGCTGTGAGGTATGATGATATAATAATAATTATAACTTCATTTATTAAATACTTACATATGCTGTTACATATATTATTTTATTTAATCTGTCATATTCCTACAGATGCTATTTTCATACTCATTCCTTAGATGCCCAAAGAGGCTCAACCAGAAAGTTGAACTTGGACTGGCTTCTGCTTTTCCCTAAAGCCTTATAGTCTCAATGGTGCCTTATAGTATTATTGATTCCTAGTTATAGAACCTGGGCATACATGTAATTGACTCCTACACTTACTGCAATAGACTAGACAAGATAGCTAAGAGTAAATATCATAGCATTGTTTGGCATGTTTTTTGGCTCACAGGATTGAATGACCAAGAGCATGCTGGCCGCTGGGTGTGGATTGGTGGTGAACCTGTTGTCTTCACCAACTGGAGGAGAGGGCGCCCTCAAAACTCAAGGCCTGGAAAGAATTGTGTTTTGGTGCAAAAACAAGGGAAATGGCAAACAAAGAACTGCGGGAAGGGCAAGCCTCACAATTTTATTTGTTCCTGGAAACTTTAAATGTAACTGATTCTGCAGGTGCTCACTTGAAATCTCTCACCTATTTATTTACAGGACTTAGGAATATTGCCCAAATGAAATCGAATTGTTGTGACTGGCTCTGCATATCTTTGTGATTTTATATAGTAAAAATGAAATCTAGATTAGTCGTTCCAGGAAGATTGATAAATGGTTATTTCTTACAAGTTGAGATATAACTTTTGTATCACAATATCTTAAAAAAATAAATGTCTGCAGTATTATAAAGTATAAGAATTGTTTATTCCTGAAGACCTGCACCCTCACCCTCTCCAAATATCAGGCAGTACCAATTTTTGTTGCTCTTAGATTTTTTCCCCCCGTTGTCTCAAATCTGACATCAATGTTATGGGGGCTCCTACTACTTCAGTCTTCCTATTACTTCAGTCTGAGTGAAGCTAATCCTGCCAGCTCATTAAACTGAGGTTGAAATCCTAAGGGTTGGGTTTGCCCTTTGGAGCTCTTTAAATGGGAATCCTAAAATTAGATGCTGTGGGTGAGAAGGAGAGTTCTTTCTAAGATGGCAGAGTATTTGACAAAGGTTTAGTTCAGGTGAGAATTTAGGGGGCTAACTGTACTTCAGTGAGCTACCCATAATAACTCGTGATAAAAATCTCCTTTTCTAATATGAATGTCGGCATTGTGCCATTCCAAAGTGAAAGATTGAGTTTCTCTGGCCTTCCACTCTTGAGAAATTTGAAGTAACATAATATCTTTAATTTGCATCTGAGTTTTTTCTACTGAGAAGCTTTTCTCAAGGGCACTTGACATGAGACATGTATGAATGACAGTTGACATAAAAGAGAAAAGTCCTTCATCCTCAGAAGTGTCCCTATGAACTATGTTGATGAGCAGAGAAAATAACATTGAAAACAAATCCCTTGAAAGGCTATCTTCTCAGAAAGATTTTGGATGCAGTTTTGACCCCTTACTTCTTTAATATTTGAAGAAATATTGTATAAACTGATTCTCTAATGGAAAGGCCTTTTGTTAATTTATAGACTCAGCTGAGTGAAACATTTGTATAGCAATGAGGCAGGCTATATCCCGCACTGAAATCCCTTTTGTAATCAAGGTTTAATTATAGGAAATTATTTTACTTCTGAAATGCTTGTTAAAATTTTACTCTTCTAATAGTCACTGAAAAATATGGTTGTACCAAATGTAACTTGTTATGGTGTATCAGTGTAACTTCAGAATTGAAATGAGGGTCACAATAGGCTAAAGTTTTGGTACAGTCTCTCTCTCGCTCTCTCTCTCTCTGAGTATATCTCTTACTCTGTGTTTCTCTTTCCCTCTCTCTTTGTCTCTGTTTCTATCTCTCTGTCTCTCTATTTTCTTTCTCTGTTGAACCTGGTGGGCATGGTAGATTTATTACATGTTGTTGCAATGAAAGCAACATTGCAAATGGTTCTCTCATAAAATTGCAAATAATTCTCTTGAAATGCTGAAAGAATATCTTAAAATAGCCCTCATTATGAAAGCATTAATCAAGTTAAGAAGTCAAATCCAAGTAATTGAAAGAACACACAAATTAGGCAATGTGGGTGCTGGGCAATTTTCATCAGGACTGTTACTGATTTGTCACCATTGGGCTTGTACTCAGGAAAAAGACGATGTATGTGATTGTCATTTCCATGCTCCTTGCATTTTTTTTTTGTTCACCATTCCCCTTCAGGTTCTGGTGGGAGAAAGTTGGGAGGAAATCAGGTATGGATGGAGTGAGAATGGGAGGTTATAGAAGGCAAAGAGGATGGAGAGTTGAGTAGAAAGGGATGAGAAAGATGGCAGCTAGGAAGGAGAACATCCAGAGGAGGGCCTGATGATGCTCAACACTACTCTCCTAATTTGAATGTTGAATCAGGAAATGCCCTGTATCCACAGGGCACAGAATCTTCTGAGTTTTGGTCTCCAACAACACACAGCATGTATTCTTGCTAAAAATAAAGTTTTAAAGCATATAATTATTTCATTTCTTACCAAGGGGGTGGTGAAAATGAACCAGGTGACATTTATTTGCATTTGTGTTTTCGTTTATTTTTGATACAGCCCCAAAGATATGTACTTATTTTAATAAACAGCGTGGTTCTATGTAATTTAAAGCATAAACTGGTGCTGATTAATTTCTGCAACAAAGCAGCCTTTTAAATTTACTGTATTTTGTATTGTATCAAAATTCATAAAATAAATTTACTTCTGTTCTCAAATACTGGATCTTTAGTCTTTAATCTTTTTGTATTTTCCTAGGAGAACATAGGTTGTAGGTGTTAATGATTCTACCAATTGTAAGAAAGGGGAGAAATCTCAATATATACCTTTTCTTCAGCTTTTGTGATATGACTTCCATACAACTGTACACCATTTATTAAATAAATACCCAGTATAAAATGTTACTACCTCTGTACCTGTTATTGTTCTACATATCAGAGATAAAATTATGAATTGAATAAGAAAATGAAAGTATAGCACATACACACAAATTTTTAAGAGTGTTTGAAGCCTTGCAGGGAGGAAGCGGCAGTGGAGATCATGATTACATTATCACTTTTTAGGCTTGAAGGCCAGGTACCAGTGGCTCACGCCTGTAATCCTAGCTACTCAGGAGGCTGAGATCTGAGGATCAAGGCTAGAAGCCAGCCCTAGCATGAAAGCCCTCATAAGGCTCTTATCTCCAATAAACCACTCAAAAATTGAAAGTGGTGCTATGGTTCAAGCGGTAGAGCACTAGCCTTGAGCACAAAGAGGCTCAGGGATACGCCCAGGCCCTGAGTTCAAACCCTACAACCAACAAAACAAAACAAAACGAAGTATTGAAGGGAGGCATACTCAGATACAAACAGCTTAGGTTGACTTTTGTTATATTTCTCTCCTGATTGAGTGTTAACTGCTCAAGGTTATTGTCAAGTCTAAGTATGATTAATAGCACTTGTGCCAAGCATCAAATTAGGAACTAAAGTTCTTGAACCTAGCTTATCAATTCCATACCAGTTTGTTTTTCTGAAACAAGAGGCAGCATGTGTTTCTGTACCACAAAGATTCCTGGGGGTTGACAAAACTTAAAGGATCTTTGCTCTCTCCTTATCTAATACCCTCATTTTACAGCAGAGAAGAATGAGGTCTGCAGAAGTTACAGTTTGAAGAAATCAAGCTCCAAATGAAGGCCCACAAATGTTAAGTAGAATCTTCTTTTGCTTTACCACATAGCTAGTACTATTCTAACAGGTAGCTTTATTTTAGTAAAATATCACTGGACTGAAAAATTTGCCTTGTACATAAAAACATTACTGTAAGTGAAAGAAAATAATATATTATAAAATTCCATTTATATGTAGTGTCCAGAGTAGACAAATCCATAAAGACAAAGTAGGTTATTGGTATCAGCGAATTGATGAATTGAGATTAAATTCTAATATGTAAGGCATTTCTTTTGGGGAAGATGGAAACATTCTTGAGTTAGAGAGTGGTTATATTTGTACAACATAATTAAAAGCTTGTAGAAGTAACCTTTTAAAAACATTCTTGTGGTGCTGGGAATTGAGGATATGTTAACCCAACCTTTCACCACTGAGCTACCTCTCCACCTTGAAAGTAAATGTTTGAAACTGGTGAAATTTATATTCTATATAATGTGTTACAATAAAAATGTTATTAAATATGACCATATAAAATGTATTTTCAAAAATTGTAAGTGGGATGCTATATTTGCTATGTGTTTATGTGATTCTTATAAGATACACCTTCCAATTTTTGCCTTACCCAGATTTTTATTTGTTTATATAGTTGGTAAAGGCGAGGGGAAAGCTTATTTGACATATTCTAAAATTCAAAGTGCTATATTATTGATATTTTTCTCCTTTTTCCTCCATTGGTCATGAAAAAGAACTGTTACTGATGGCAGAATGTATCTGGATGTCATGATTTTCTTAAAAGCAATCTTACAAGCCTTTATAGCAAGATCATGCAGGAAATGAATATACTAGCCTCATAACTTAAACATATAACTATTCATTTTGAGTAGTTTTATAGGCCTTATGCTCTGCTAGGTAATAAAGTTTAGTTTATCTTAAGACAGAAAGGAACAAAAATCAACCAACACTTCCATTTAAGGCCTCATAGTAATCTCAAATCTTTTTCCAAGAAATGACGCATGATTCCACCTTTTTCTTCTATTTCCACCTGTATTTTTGCTTTCCAAAGGCAATCAATCTTAACTTGCCATGTATAAAAAATAAAACGTTCAGATCCAGCTGCCTATAAGAAACATACCTTTAATGTAAATACACAAATCCATCAAGGCAAAAGAATGGGAAAAATATTCCATTCTAAAGCTTGTCAGAATGGCTAAATCAATAACAGACAGTAGAATTGAGAGCAAAGAAAATAGAAAATGATGTCAAAGACAGAAAAGGTTATTTCACAATATTAAAATACCAATCATTAAAAAAACTTTATAATTCAAAACAGGTTCATCTAATAACAAAGTTTAAAATATGTAGAACAAAAGCTAATAGAACTAAAAGAAGAAACAGACAAATCCGTCCTCACAGTTTGAAATGTAAGTAGGCAGAAAAATCAATAAGGATGTGGAAGAGTGGACACTATTAACCAACTTAACACAGTTGAAATTTATAGAACACTTTACTCAAAAATACAGAATGTATTTCCTTTTCAAGTACATGTGACCTATTTAACCAAGGCAGAGTATACTGTGGAAAGTAAAACAAGTTTCAGTAAGTTTAAAAGGATTCAGGTCATGCAAAATACATTCTTTGATTATAGTGGAATTATTGGAAATCAGTAACAGCATCTTTCTGGAAGATTCCTCGGGGGTTATACATTAAATCAGAGGTAGGGGACATCCAGACTGAGATCTGACAAAATCATATGATTTGACCCAGTCAACGCAACTGTAGGTGAGACATGAAATTCCATAAACCTAGCAACTTTTTTTCATAACAATATAAATACCAGTACCAGCTAAC